GGGCATGGCTATGCCCAGCTCTTCTTGATGGCCACTGGGGGTGTGGCCTTCAGGAAGAGCTGGCCGTAGCCACGCCCATCTTGTCCTTCCGCATTGCCGCTTGTCACCAGGGAGGCCAGGGCAACTGCAAGATTGTAAATCTGGTGCAAACTTTACAATCTCATAGTTTCCCTTCCCTGGGTGTCTGCGAAGGGCGATGGATGGCAAGGGAATGACGTGGGCGTGGCTACGCCCAGCTTTTCTTGACAGCTACAGGGGGTGTGGCCTTCAGGATGAGCTGGGCGTAGCCACACCCACCTCGCCCTTCTGCATCGCTGCTTGTCACCAGGGAGGCCAGGGAAACTGTGAGATTGTAAATCTGGTGCAAACTTTACAATCTCACAGTTTCCCTTCCCTGGGTGTTTGCGAAGGGCAATGGATGGCAGGGGAATGAGGTGGGCATGGCTACGCCCAGCTCTTCTTGACGGCCACTGGGGGCATGGCCTTCAGGAAGAGCTGGCCGTAACCACGCCCTTCCGCATCGCCGCTTGTCGCCAGGGAGGCCAGGGAAACTGCGAGATTGTAAATATGGTGCAAACTTTACAATCTCGTAGTTTCCCTTCCCTCGGTGTCTGTGAAGGGCGATGGATGGCAGGGGAATGAGGTGGGCATGGCCACGCCCACCTCGCCCTTCCACATCGCCGCTTGTCGCCAGGGAGGCCAGGGAAACTGCAAGATTTTAAATTAACTGGGGGGAGGGGCACCTTCCATTAACGAAGTAAACGAAACTATTTGGATTTTTGCTATTTCCGATCTTTTTTTTCAAGAAAATTTGAGAAATAATTTTAAAATCGAAACGCCAGCGCCCCCTATATACGAAACGAGTTTAGAACCTTTTTTTTCTTGATCAACCAATCCTAGAGAAGACAATGATGCTGGGGAAAGTGGAAGGTAAAAGGAAGAGGGGCCGACCAAGGGCAAGATGGATGGATGGCATCCTTGAAGTGACTGGACTGACCTTGAAGGAGCTGGGGGTGGTGACGGCCAACAGGGAGCTCTGGCGTGGGCTGGTCCATGAGGTCATGAAGAGTCGTAGACAACTGAACGAATGAACAACAACAACAACCAAGCCTACTAAGCATGGGTCAGAGTTGAAGGTGGAGTGGATTACGGAGGAGAATATAGGTGGCTGACTTGAACAATGGGAAGAGAATTCTACAACAAGGTTGGGTAAAATACAGATATTATAGAATTACAGAATTGCAACACTTATGGAGACAGGTCTTCTAACTTTGGATCAAACCGTACTATTCCTCACCAACTTCTCATACAAATCACTCAAATGTCTCTTACCTTACTTGGTGGTAGTAGATTTTGAAGACAATGGAACGAATGAGGACTGGAAGGAGGGGTGCATTTATATACCGCTTCGTGCACCCTTCTTCACAGGAAGTGAGGCAACATGAAACCGTGAAGGACCTCTTCAGAATGCGTTTCCAGCCTTCCTTTGTGACTTTTGATGACTTCTGGATGTATTAAGGTGAAAATCCAATGGGGCCTGTTATTAATGTCATCCCATAAGACTATAATTTGCTTTGGTGTTGAGGCAGCACTTTCGTGGCCACTGGGATGGGATGGGTGTTTAGGATGCTGGAGAAGCAGCTGAGTGATTCTCCAGGAATTCGTAATGAACGCCTTGAGGAATGAATGAAGTTTTTCCAATACTTCTTTCCAAAAACATGGATATTCGTCGCTATGTCTCACTGTCAGGGCATTACTACTAATTATACACGTGGAAGAAGAAAGATGGTAGCCCGTCAAGTCACCCTGGTTGCGCGAGAGATGCCTAAAGGGTTTGTGGTGGTACGAAGTGGTGAAGAATGAAGGAAATAGTTGAAGACAAACACAACTAGTAAGGGTCTTGATCTAGTCTCCTAAAACTATTTGATGTGCCCCGTAGCAAACTTCTCATCTTTGACTCCTCATCCTCACGTCTGGTTGGTATTTTTAGTCATTTCCATTCTGTATGGAAACATAGTTTGTGTAGGCCTTGGACCATCAGAAAGACATGTGATGATATCTCAACCACACATGTGGACAACTTTGGAGCAATCCAGATATGGGATACTCAACTGATATCCTACTTCAACTACTTAACCTATCTATATATATAATAAAAGAGAATGTTTGTATGTGGAGGGAGGACGGGAGGGAGGACGGTGTATGTGGCAGCTTTCTGATTGGCTGCAACTGTGGTACAATTTGCATATTGGCCAGCCTCAACATTCCAATGGTTGGAGTTGAAGTCCAAAACACCTTGTGTCCCCCAACAATGACATAACAAGACCCAACTTGGCACACAGACCACCCAAGACCCACTCTACGTCCTGGTGCAGTTTGAGAAGACCAAACTTGGCACACAGACCACCCAAGACCCACTCTACATCCTGGTGCAGTTTGAGAGAGGATGGACCATGAATGATGGGACTTGCAGTACTTTAACTCATTTCCTTAGAGCACTGTGGCCCACACCAATAACGGATCAGGACCAAACTTGGCATACAGAGGCCCAATTGCCCACTTTACAACCTGGTGAGGTTTAGGGCAGGATGGGCCACGAATGATGGGATTTGCAGTACATTCACTTGATTCCCTTCCCACAGAACATTGTAGCCCCTACAAATCACATACCAGACCCAAACTTGGCACACAGAGTACTCATGACCCACTCTACATCCTGATACAGTTCTAAGAGGGATAGACCATGGATGATGGGATGTGCAGTACCTTCACTCACTTTCTGAGACCACTGCCACCCTCATCCAGTGACTGATGAGGTGGCCGTGGCCAAGCACAGCCCTCCTTGGAGGCCTCGCCCCCAGCGACCAAGCACAGCGCTCCTTGGAGATTTTAAAACTAACACTTTTAAAATCCCTCACCTTTCTTTCTCTTCCCAGGCAAGCTGTCGAAGGGAGAGGTGGGCGTGGCCAGACACAGCTCTCCTCGGAGGTCGCTGGGGGCGAGGCCTCCAAGGAGGGCTGTGCTTGGCCACGGCCACCTCCTTCCTCTTTGCATCGGCGGCTTTGCGAGGTCGGCGTGGCTACACCCAGCTCTTCCGCATCGCCGCTTGTCACCAGGGAGGTAGCCACGGCCACCTTGCAAAGCCGCCGATGCAAAGAGGAAGGAGGTGGCCGTGGGTAAGAACAGCTGCTCCTGAACGCCATGCCCCCAGCATTTACGATTCACTGGCGGAAGTCGTAAGGAAGATGGCGGACGCGGCTTCAATATGGCAAAAACACTTCCGGGCGTCGATATCGCTTCTAAAGGTAATTATTTACGAATTAATAACGAGATAAGAAATTAACGAACTGGATCAACCAAGCCTACTGAACCACTCTCAGAGTTAGGAAGTTCTTCCTCCTGTTCAGGTGGAATCTCCTTTCCTGCATTTGAAGCCATTGTTCTGCATCCTAGTCCCCAGGGCAGTAGTAAACAAGCCTCTTCCCTCCTCCCTATGACTTCCCCTCACATGTGTACATGGCTATCATGTCTCGGCCTACTCTTCGATTGCTCCAGGTGTTATTGACTTAAATCTAGATTATTATTATTATTATTATTATTATTATTATTATTATTAAACTTTATTTGTACCCCGCTAGCATCTCCCGAAGGACTCGATGCGGCTTACATAGGCCAAGGCCTCAAAACACAACACAACAATACAACACCTAAAGCAAATTAAAAACAGTTAAGCAATATTAACAACAAGCAATAAACAATACATCAAGACATTATAAAACTGGGCTGGGCCAGAGTAATGGGTACAAGATTAAAAGTGCTGATGTGGCAGGAGGTATGTAGGATTATAAGTAAGTGCAGAGTGCGGTGTGCAGTAATCTTAGTTCTTCTAAAGTGCTTATGGGACTGGGTATTGGAGATTCCTAATCTGGGAAGGCACATCGGAACAGCCAGGTCTTCAAGTTCTTTCTAAAGACTGCCAACGTAGGGGCCTGTCTAAGATCTTTTGGGAGGGTGTTCCAGAGTCGGGGGGCCACCACAGAAAAGGCCCTGTCTCGTGTCCCCACCAAACGCACTTGCAACGCAGGCGGGATCACGAGCAGGGCCTCTCCAGATGACCGAAGTGAATGTGTGGGTTCATAGACGGAGAAGCGGTCACGCAGGTAGGATGGTCCCAAAGCGTTCAGGGCTTTGTAGGTAAGCACCTGCACCTTAAATTGGGCTCGGAAAATAAACGGCAGCCAATGGAGCTCCTTGAACAGGAGGGTTGACCTCTTTCTGAAAGGAGCCCCGGTTAACATCCTGGCCGCTGCTCGTTGGACCAGTTGGAATTTCCGAGCCGTTTTCAAGGGCAGCCCCACGTAGAGCACATTGCATTAGTCCAATCTAGAGGTGACCAAGGCATGGACCACCCCGGCCAAATCAGCCTTCGCGAGGTACGGACGCAGCTGGCACACGAGTCTCAATTGTGCGAAAGCCCTCCTGGACACCGCCGACGCCTGAGCCTCAAGCGTGAGCGATGAATCCAGGAGGACTCCCAAACTGCGGACCTGTGGCTTCAGGGGGAGTGTAACCCCTTCCAGCACAGGTTGCCACCCTATACCCCGGTCAGGTTTGCGATCGACCGGGAGGACCTCTGTCTTGTCGGGATTGATCTTCAGCTTGTTCCTCCTCATCCAGATAGACACAGCAGCCAGGCACTCATCTAGCTCCTGAGAGGCCTCCTTGGAGTTGGGTGGGAAAGAGTAGTAGAGTTGCGTGTCATCTGCGTAGTGATGGCACCCGACTCCAAAACTCCGGATGACCTCTCCCAGCGGTTTCATGTAGATGTTAAAAAGCATGGGAGACAGAATGGAGCCTTGCGGGACCCCACAGGTCAAAGGCCAGGGGTCCGAGCAGGCATCTCCCAGCTTCACCATCTGGGTTCATCCCTCCAGATGTGGCCATTAGACACAAGACAGGCAAATGGATGAAAAACAAGTCCAAAGGTTTGCTTTCATAATTCTATAATTTTATTATTGACTATATATTTAGTTGAAGATCTATTAACAGTTAAGGAACCCATACATGAAGAGAAGAGTAAAGACACCACCTATCCTACATATAAAAGTCTTGACTCCTTCATGAATGGAATAAGGAGAGGAACATCAGAAGAAACATCTAAGGTGGAATTGAAGGAGTCAGGTGAGAAGCTGGTGCGTTAAAAGCATAGTCCTGAAGCTTTGAAATCCAGGCTTGCTGGGGTTAAGCTATTCCACTCTGGGATTTCTAGACTTCCTGGGACTTCTTAACATTTCTTGGTCTTGCAGCAGGGAGGGCAGCATTGCTTGCAGGTAGTCTGGCAGCAGCAGGGTTCACAACAAGGTTCACAGCATTGTGGTTTGCAGCAGGGTTCACAGCAGGGTTCACAGCATTGTGGCTTGCAGCAGGGGTCGCAACATTGTGGTTTGCAACAGGGCTCACAGCATTGTGGTTTGCAGCAGGGCTCACAACATTGGGGCTTGCAGCAGGGCTCACAACATTGTGGTTTGCAGCAGGGCTCACAGCATTGTGGTTTGCAACAGGGCTCACAGCATTGTGGCTTGCAGCAGGGCTCACAGCATTGTGGTTTGCAGCAGGGCTCACAACATTGGGGCTTGCAGCAGGGCTCACAACATTGGGGCTTGCAGCAGGGTTCACAACATTGAGGCTTGCAACAGGGCTCACAGCATTGTGGTTTGCAGCAGGGCTCACAACATTGTGGCTTGCAACAAGGCTCACAGCATTTTTGTTTGCAGCAGGGGTCACAGCACTTTTGTTTACAGCAGGGGTCACAACATTTTTGTTTAGGGCATGGATCACAACATTTTGTTTTGCAGCAGGGCTCGCAACATTTTGTTTTGCAGCAAGGCTCACAGCATTTTTGTTTACAGCAGGGGTCACAACATTTTGTTTTGCAGCATTGATCGCAACATTTTGTTTTGCAGCAAGGCTCGCAACATTTTGTCTTGCAGCAGGGTTCACAACATTTTGTTTTGCAGCATTGATCGCAACATTTTGTCTTGCAGCAGGGGTCACAACATTTTGTCTTGCAGCATTGATCGCAACATTTTGTCTTGCAGCAGGGCTCACAACATTTTGTCTTGCAGCAGGGGTCACAACAGCTTTGCTTGCAGCAAATTTTGCAGCATTGCTGGCAGCAGCTTTGCTTGCAACATGGCACACAGCAACATGAACAGCAGTTGTTGCAGCAACTCATCTTTGTGGAGGGAGGGAAAAGCTGAAATAGAAGAGACAGAACTCACAAATGAGTATTTCCAACAGCTGTAAGTGGTGCAACCCAAGATAGAAGCTGAGCGGGCAGAAAGCATTGTGTTCATGAGAACCTTCATCGCAAAATTGCCCTTCAAAGTTTATATGGGTGACCCTATTCAGAATGAGTATCGAACTGATAGCTAATTTCCTTTGAAATAAGTGAAACTCTCCATGAGATAGCTAGAACAAATAACAAACTCTAGAGCCGGTGAAGAAAAACACAGGACCAAATGTCACTTCTGGGAGAAGTGACAAGATATATTATGCTGCATACCCCCTTTCTATTATAAAGCTCATTGTAAAAATCCCATTATGGGTAGGTGATGAAAAAAGTTTCAAGGTGGATAGTAAAACTTCCAGAGGCAGCAAGGCAAAGCACAAGGCCAAATATTGTGGGATGTAATCAAGATATATTATGCTGCATACCCCCTTTCTATTATAAAGCTCATTGTAAAAATCCGGCCCAGCTTACTTATCCGAATATATATCTCTCTACGTTCCACCTCGTAATTTAAGATCTACTGGGGAGGCCCTGCTCTCATTCCCACCAGATGCGTTTGAAGGCGGTATATAAATAAAGGGATTATTATTATTATTATTATTATTATTATTATTATTATTATTAGAAACACCACAAGATGAGTCCACAGCAGACACTCTGCTGGTTGTTGTATTGGATTATTATTATTATTATTATTATTATTATTATTATTATTATTAATCTGATCTTCTCCTTCCATTAAAAAAGTCCTATTGGTCCTAACTGTAGGTTCTTCCTTAGTAGGGTTTCTATCTCTTTATAACTATTCCTTGTTATGAACCTTCAAGTCAATTCTATCTTATGGTAACCCTCTTCTAGAACTTTCTCTGAAGATGAGGGAGTGTGCAAATTAATTAGTTTTTGTCCTCTTAGTGGATCTATCCTGTATCCTCCCTGGACTACCTTAAAAATCTCCTCTGTTTTCTCTACTGCTTTCAATCCCTTTTCTGCTTCGGTTTAATGCTTCCTTAAAGCTGTTTCTACTCTATAGAGGAGAGGCAGGCACACACAATTTCTCTCCTAGCACCAGCAGCACACCGCAGAGCTTTCCAATGCATTTTTAAGGAGGCCCAGGGAAGGAAGAGTGATAATGACCTAGAGCTCAGTGGACCTATCCCGTATCTTTCCTGGACTACCTTAAAAATCCCCTCTGATTTCTCTACTGCCTTCAATCTTCTTTCTGCTTGGATTTAATGCTTCTTTACAGCGGATTCTACTTTCTACTCTAGAGGAGAGGCAAGCACACACAATTTCTTTCCCAGCACCAGCAGCACCAGTGATGCTGACCTAGAGTTCATTGGACCTATCCCATATACTCCCTGGACTACCTTAAAAATCCCCTGTTTTCTCTACTGCCTTCAATCTCCTTTCTGCTTTGGTTTACTGCTTCCTTAAAGTGGTTTCTGCTTTCTACTCTAGAAGAGAGGTAGGCTCCTCTTGTTTGCTGAAGTATTATTATTGTGGAATTCTCTCCTAGAGAGATTAGATCGGCATCCTCCCTCCTTACTTTTAGGATAAAACTAAAGACCTGGTTTTGGAGCCAGGACTTTGGCTAGTGGGCACTGTCAGAGATTGGCGATCCCCAACGGAAGAAATGCTAGATCAAGCAGACACTGAGTTGCAAAATAAGGACTCTGCAGGCTTTGAGTTACAAAAGAAACTAAGTTTACTAAGAACATATAACAGACACGTCTTTCTACAGCGAGCTACAATTCAGGAAGAACAAAGAACTAGTCAAACCCGAAAGCCTCTTCACATCTGCTTATCTTCTCTTGCTGAGACTGGCAACTCCCTTCTGTTCTCAGCAAGAACAACCCTTATCTTACTTTTCTCAAGTTCACTTAATCACAGCCTCAAAGTATAAACATTTCTGCATGGCATTTTCAATTCACAGTGGCATCCATCTTGGCAATACATAGAAGCACATTGAAAAACACATAACTAAATCAATCCTGACAGGCACAACAGCACTTTAGGCACTGAATTTGGACAATAGGATTGTTCGAAAATTGGAAATGGCTTTATGACCTGTGATTCTGTGATCTGTTCGATGTGGTTATGTAATTTTAATTAATATCACTGCTTAATTGTTATGTAATGGATTTTATATTGCTATTTTATATGGTTTTGATACTGTTGGCATTGAATAGTTGCCTGTGTTAACCGCCCTGAGTCCCCCCTTGGGGGTGAGAAGGGCGGGGTAGAAATGGTCTAAATAAATAAATAAATAAATAAAAATCCCATCATGGGTAGGTGAGAAGAGAAGTTTCCAGGTGGATGGTAAAACTTCCAGAGACAGCGAAGCAAAGCACAAGGCCAAATACTGTGGGATGTAGTCAAGATATACTACATTTCAGTACCCCCTTTCTATTACCTGAAGGTGGAAATCGCATTGCAAATGGATAGGAGATAAAAGAAGGGCCAGGCTTTAGTGCAGCTGGTTAGGGTTAATCACCAGCAGCAATAGATCTTACCAATCAAAAGGTTGGTAGTTTGAAGCTCGGGTTGGGTGAGCATCTGACCTTTAGGCCATTTCACTGTCCACTTAAGCAGTTCGAAAACAGTTGTGAGCGGTGAGTAGAGAAATAACACACCGCTTAAGCAGGGAGAGCACCGTGGACTCAAATGATGGATCTGGACCACACTTGTCACAAATACTCAATATACCCAAATGTGAACACTGAGGAAAATAGACCTTGACATTTGGGAGTTGTAGTTTTTGGGATTTGTAGTTAACCTACAGTAAAAGAACACTCTGAACCCAGTCCATGATGAATCGTCATCAAACTTGGCACACTACCTACATGGCCAACATTGAATACTGGTGGGGTTAAGGGGATGCTTTTGAATTCTGTGAGTTGTAATTCACCAACACCAAAAAGGAAGAGGAGGACAGGTAGAGAGATCTTCAGCCTTTTCTGTCAAAGGGTTCCTAAGACCATCAGAAATACGTGTTTTCTGATGGTCTTTGGCGACCCCTCTGAAACCCACCTCATGACCCCTCCAGGGGTCCCGACCCCTGGGTTGAGAAACACTGTCATAGAGGATGGGGCGACAGCAACCCCCTGTGGCCGGAATCAAGAACAACCTCCAAGACACCAAAGTTGGGGAAAATGCTGCCGTATAGTTGTTTATTATTATTATTATTATTATTATTATTATTATTATTATTATTAGAAACTCAACAAGATGAGTCCACAGCAGACAAGATCACTTTGCTGACAGTTGTTTTGGATCCCACGTCGGATTATTATTATTATTATTATTATTATTATTATTTGAAACACAACAAGATGAGTCCACAGCAGACAAGTTCACTCTGCTGACAGTTGTTTTGGATCACACGTCGGATTATTATTATTATTATTATTATTATTATTATTATTATTATTATTATTTACTGTATTTATATACCGCCTTATTCACCTCTGGAGGGACTCAAGGGGGTTTACTAGGGCTGGGCGGTTTCGTTTCGTTAATTCGTAATTCGTTAATAATTCGTTAATTTTTTCAATTACAAAACGATAACGAACCATTCTGGAGCAATTATTAAAAAAAACGAATTTTCAAAAACGTTTTGTAAATGCTTCGTATTTCGATATTGTATTCGTTTCGTTATTGTTTTGAGGTCGTTTCGTTATTATTTCCGCATGTCTGGGCCAGTTTTATGGTTTAATTAGTGAAAAAAAATTATAATATCACACCAACAGTCAACAACAGAGGGAGAGGGAAGCTTCAGAAGGTTTTGGCGGTTTTTTAGCGTATTTCGCGGTCGCGTCCGCCATTAACGAATCGATTCGTTATTGTTTCGGAAATCGATTCGTTAATTTTTACCATTTACGAAATTTCGTAAATATCGAACTTTTTAAAAGGAAAATTTTGTAATTATTTTAAATATCGAAACAAAAAAACCCCCCAATACAAATCGATTTTAGAAACAAATTTTTCCGTTGTTACCCAGGCCTACTATCTATCTATCTGGACCCGAAGATAGGCCTCTCTTAAGTCCATCCATCTATCATCCATCTAGCTATCTATTGCAGTGGTTCCCAACCTGTGGGTCCCAGATGTTTTGGCCTTCAACTCCTAGGTCTATCACTCTATCATCTATCTATCAGGACCTGAAGGTAGGCCTCTCTTAGGTCTATCGTTGTTACCCAGGCCTAGGGTTTACGACATACTAATGGCAAAACTTCAATGCCAATATACAGTAAAACAAAGCAATCATAGTAACGAATCACTATATATAACTATGACTTCAAAACATTAAAACTATTGATTTGACCTCTATCTGTTGTCTGTCCATCTGTTTGATGGCATTGAATGTTTGCTGTGTATCTGCCCTGAGTCCCCTTCAGGGTGGGAAGGGTGGAATATAAATGCTGTCAATAAATCTATATAAATAAAAATATAATGTTTGTTTGTGGGATTAACATAACTCAAAAACCACTGGACGAATTGACACCAAATTTGGACACAAGACACCTCTCAGGCCAACGAGTAACCATCACTCATAAAAACACTGAAAAGCACAGCAGAAGGGACTTTAAAAACCAAAAATAAAAGCAAAAAGACGCTACAGTGCATGCGCAAAAACAACTCCCCCTGACCAACAAAACACACAATAGCATATCCACACTCTGTTCCAGACTACAGCTCCCAGCATCCCCTAGACCAGGCCCTTTAGGAGTAGAGGATGATCCAAATGCACTGCTACCAAGCTGCAATCTTTCTTCTCCTTGGATTTCTTTGAGAGCGTCCCAATCCCTGCCGATTTCCCATTTCCTATTCCTGGACTGCAACTCCCAGCAATCCTCCAGATAGATAGATTAGATGGAGATAGGTAGGTAGGTAGGTAGGTAGGTCAGGAGGACTGGTGGGATTTGCAGTCCAAGAATAGGTAG